TGTCGTGTTAGCGCGCGCCTTTATTTACGGAAAATATGGATAAAATTTAACGTCGAGGCGTGTATATAAAAATTTTGTTCATTCAATAGTATTGCATATAATTAATAAAACGAGGAATTAATTTTGATTTTGATGGAGATTTTGATTGGAGAAGCTGGATGTTGCAAAATCACAGGAAGGTAGGAATGTAAGTTTAAAGGTTTTTTTATATATGTGTAAATAAATATACAATGATTAAGAAATTAATGAACGAAAGAAAATGTGATAAACGTTTCAATCTATTCGATCTTTTCAAATGAGATATTTAATTAAAATTAAAATTAAAATTTTAAAAAATGCGCAATAGCAAAATATTGTATAATTGAAGAAAAGGAGATAGAAAAATCAATTCAAATTACAGATAGAAAAGAATAAATATGAGATAGTGTATATCCTGTCGACTGAAATAAAGTAGAAAATCAGACAAGAAAATGTCTTTCGTATACCTATATTCGTCTTGTCAATATATGTACCGATCGAATATTCGATTTATATGTTTGTTGTTTTTGCTTGTGAATTTGGCACTAGATAGACAGCAGAACGGACATACTCGATAAAACTATTTTTGTGTCAGTCTTTTCCTTCCTTCGTCGTACAACAAGATGACAAATTGAAAATTAATTTCCTTGAATTTTCGTCTTACATACGACAATAGCGTGACATAAAGTTTCGTGTGGGTAATTGCATATCAATTGAAAGTTGAAATTAAAAACATTGAAAAGATAATCCATACAAAATATTAATAATACTAATAAAAGACATCAATTTTATTTTACCATCAAATATAATTTGATGAAAATAAATTACAAAGTTTTTTTAATATATTTTTTCACACGTTATATGAATACGTTTTTCCCGTGTTATCTTGATGAGAACAAACTTCGAAATGAAAGGATTCGTGTGATGCATTATTTTTTTTTTATGACAAGCTTAAATCTTCTCCGATCAGGCATTGTGACTGTTGCGAGAAACGCTGGTTTTTATGTAAGTTTTTGCCTATGGGTATATGAAACGGGTGGCTGCTGCTCGTAACCCTTACGAGTCCAGGTGGGCTCGTGCTTGTCGGTAACAAGATACGGGGGTGGTTGAAAGTGCGCGAAGGAAAATGGCGATGGGGGAGCGCAGGATTGAGCAGACGGGAGAAAAACGCGGTGGTTAGAGGGAAAGAGTAGAGTACTGTGGCTCAGCTATACGCAACCTGCTTTCTGTTTGGCACTGACGCCAGCTGTTCTTCTCGTTCCGAGCAAAGGATAGCGAAGTCTGCACTTAGCATTTACGAGTAGAAACTAGAAAAGCCTTCTGTGCAAGGACGTCTGTCCTGGCGGATCACGAACAGAAGGAGAATATGCCTTTCCTTCATGGTCCGGCATAAGGCGCAAAGACGCGTTTTAGTGCACAATTTTGTCGAGCAAATTTCGCGAATTCAACGGTAGAAAAGATTGATTCAAAATTCAAGTTAAATTAAATATCATGAAAAATAAGAGAAACTTGTATATTTAATTAAGAATTTGTCGGTATATATTATTTACAATATTTTAATATATTTTAATAATATTATTAAATGTCAGTGCATCGTAAGGAATGCATATAAACAGGATGTCTAGCGGTCAGGGAAATCTGGAAAACCGGGCATTGTCAGGGAATTTTAGAAATCTGGAATTGTCAGGGAAAAAAGTTAGGAAATTTTACTATTTATCCGAATTTTTTCACATTATTCTACATTTGTCTCAATAATTTGAAATTTTTTTTTAAATATAAACTTTTTCTCGACTCCCAGCACGCTAATTTTTTGTGTTAAAAATCGATTTATCTACAGCGTGTTTGTTAATTTATATTTTCATCGTCGTGTTATTTTATTTCAATATGTTTGATAGAGACAAAACTAAAAAATTTGATATAATATAAATAAAAAAGGTGGTTATTTTAAATAGTTTATAGTGACATGTTTGTTTCGATTATTGTATATATAATGCAGATTGTATAATTGATTTAAATTTTTGGATTTTTTAACTTCCGAACCTTTTCATCGTTGACAAAAATATCTCAAAGCTTTCATGATTTAACATTTAATTGATTTATCATATAGATATATGCAAATTATATATATTTAGCAAAAAATAGTATTAAAAAGTCAGGGAAAAAAATGGAATTTCTGGTCTCGGAAAATCCGAAAAAGTCAAGGAATTTTTTTCATTGAGTCTGCTGTACATCCTGAATATAATTTTAATAATTCTATAAACTTGAAAAATTAATGAATTTTTATTTTATGAATTTATTAAAAAAATAATTTTAATAAATTCTTTGAAAAATAGGAGTTGTAGAGAAATCAATCGACCAGACTAGCAAGTAAATCATTTATTCAGCTTCACATCTAGTCGATTAATTTCTACAACTCAGGGTCATCTTTTTTCTACAAAGGATCTACAAGTCAGGGATTTTTTTTTATTGAGTCTACTGGACACTATATAAATGTCAGTGCATCATAAGGAATGCATATCGCATGCATATAAAGCGTCGGCGATTGCTTGCAACCCCGTCGTCCCGAAAGTACAATAATCTAGAGATTGATCGAATGAGCCTTCGATTCGAGACAAACGCGAGAAAGGAAAGGAAAGAATGCGCGAAAGAGTGCAAACGATGAGAAACGAGGTCGGTGTTATCGCGTCTCTCGTCAAGTTCGTAGTAGATTGCGCGCTCGTTTCTCTCGAGTCACCCCATAGACGAGTGAAACTTGGGGAGTCCGGCTCCATCGAATAAAGCGCCCGAACAAATAATGCGGCTTCCCGTTCCCTCCTTTCCCGCCCCCCTTCCCAGATGCTTCCGGTCTCTTATTTCATCGGATAGCCATCCGAACACGTGCTCCCGCTTCCTCTTTCCTTCTCTTTCCTTTTCTTCTTCCGCCAAAGTGGGAGAGCTCACCACTCTTCTCGCTCTTACTACTTCATTGCATTCAATAATTTGATCGCAAATCAACTGTGAGCAAGAGTCGATACGCGGCGTTTCTGTTGGAAGATTTTTCCGTTCGGCTGATTAGACACCCGTTAAATTCAATATCGCGAGCTGTTGTAACGCGTCAATTGCAGCGCGCCTTATTTCGATGATTGATATCCGTGTTGTTTCTCTCTCAGTCTGAAAGATGCAGCGTAACACCGGGACGAGTCTATATTCCAACATATTTTGTGTTTATATATAAATATCATATATTATTAATATTATTAATATTGAGAGCCGACAAAAATATTTCTTATCTGATTTTATATATAAACTTGCAAATTTGTATTCAAGCGTAAATCATAGTTTTATAAAATTTGCTTTCCTAGGCAATATAAATTATCGAAGAAAAATATACCCCAGTTTACGCAGATGTGATTTGAATGGCCTCTATTCAAAGCCTAGTTTACTTAATAAGCCTAGTTAAGCAATTATGCAAATTAATAATGCACGTGTGGACATAATTGCACATTGTTACGTCTCGTGACGTCATTGTCGCATTGTTACGTCATTGTATGATTTCGTATTCAACGTTAATGAAATATCCAACGTACAGTGCGTATTGTGACACAAGTCAATCGAGTCCCTCGATGTATCGATTTTCCATGGAGCTCTGCATCCGCGTGTTTCCGCGCACATCCTGCGTTTACATACGTCTCCGCACACCCACGATTCGGCGATGGACCCACCTGGAGGATGTCGTCGCGTGCCATTAAGGGTCCCGTTGGCAAACGTTTAACGACGATATGCCCGGAGCACGTGTCAGGATGTCCTCTCGGTAATAAAAGCCCTCTTAGACTCGAGTCTCTCTCTCTCTCTCTCTCTTCCTTTCTCTTTTCTCGCGAGCCACTCGATCCTTTTTCTCCTCGTCGGCAAAGCAACGGTGCAGCCTGCGAGCAGAGAGAGAGAGAAAGATTCTTTCTCTCCCTCTCTTTCTCTCCTGGCTTGCAGAAGCGGCTTGTGTTTCCTGCGCGGCACGCGACTCCGAAGTCCAGCTGCTTCCTGTCTCTGCCACTTCTCTCACTTCCCACCATCTCTTTCCGTTTCGCCGACCCACGCATTATCGTACTTCGCCGACTGACTGTGTCGCCCCCGTGATCCCGTTCGTCCGTAGCTCCGCGTTTCTAGCGAGCCATTATGTTCGAGGGAGATCGCCTTTCATCGTTCCGTCATGATACACCTCGCATTTGCATGATCGAGAGAAGGGTAAATCCGCGGCGAATATGCGAAAGGGAATACGCGTAAATCGTTATTTTTATAGAGCGAACATTTATGTAAATTCATCTAAGATATTTTATAAGATGAAAATGATTTTGTTTTAAATATATCTATAGGTAAAAGACAAAATTATATGGCGATTCATCTGGATAATTTTCTAGATGATAATTTTTAATTTAAAAAGATGTAAATTATAAAAGGGATATAATATATATATATATATGCATACATTTATTTATAAATTTTGATCGCTTACTGCTTAAGTTCTACTATTTAAATATTTTTATGTGTTATGATTCTAAATCAAAATTATCTGAAAATTATTCTAGATAATTTAATAAAGATAATACTTTTTTTTTTATCTAAGATGCAGATATAGATAATACATATTTTTATTATCTATATAAAGATAAGATGACGCCAAAGTTTCATCTATCATTATATCGTTATATATACATATAATTTTATTTAGATAACAGCAAACACTACTTGGAAGTAATATTAATTACATAGCTCGTGCTATTTAACAAAGTCAATAAATAAACATTAAAAATTTCAAATAATAGAAATAGAGAATTATTTAATACGCAATTATAAGGGGAAAAAATAGATATATATATATTTTGATTAGGATTAGAATTATGAGATTTTTTCCAAATTATTAATAAAATTATTATTAAAAAATATTAAAATTATGTCGTATGAATTGAAATTATGTCGTATAACGATATGAATGCTTTTTTTCATTTCAGTTTGAATTACTGTTGATGATAGTGCTAGAAACTAAGGCCGTAACAATGAGCCCATTCATTCGTCGACAGGTGGAAACACAGATATCCTGGATATGGGTTTGTGGAACTTGATTATTCAAGATATTACGCAAGGAATATAAAAAGATATCTTGAAATTTAACAATAAAAATGTTTTATAAATTTGCTTATTTTATTAGAGACGTGTAATGTGCTAATCTATGTAAGTCTATATATATGTAAGTAGAGTAAATAAAATAAAACATAAACTATTAACAAAAACATTTAACATTTGTAAAAAAAATATTAAATACATACATGTATAACTTTGAAACAGACTTATATGTATATCTGTTTTATTGCACCCTTTCGTGAAATTCATGAGATTTTGCATCGGTGATCTAAAACAGCTTACGCGAGTCATCGTCAGAGAATGTGCTGAACAAGAAATTGAAGTAATTATTTCATTTGTATTGCTAATTACACGTGAGGGACGATGGTCGCTTAAACAGTATAGGTACAACAGTGTCCGTGTTTGCCCGCTTGGATGAGATTAATTAAATGGATGCGGTTAAATTGACTTCGTTTGCAATTTGATCGGATTTTCCGACGGCGTAGACTCGCACATCGCGCGAATGCAATTCCATTCGCGTCCTTCTGTCCTATCCACCGTCTGTCTTCCTCTCACCTGGGTATCCGTACGATACCGATTGCCGTAATTAACCGGCCGCAACAGGCACATGGCATGACGTTGTGCGAATGCGTGAACGCGTGCACTCATTGCATGCATTCATCGATGCGACTTGATGCAATGAAATCGCGTCTCGCATTCTCGGACGCGCACGCCGGACGATTTCAGCATTATTTTACACATGAATCTGTTAGGGGGAGGGAAATGTATTCTCGAACTCTCTTTTATATATTATCTGTATAATGTAATTTTATTATATTATTTCGATAAAAAAAGTATATAATAAAAAAAGTTTAGACGATATATTTTTATAAGCATGCTTGTGTGTTATTCCTATAAACCTCGATTTGAACGGTCTTATATACAGGTCAGGACACGTCTATATCGACTACATATATGCTGTCAAGCGTAACAAAATGTAACTAATATGGCTGCCAACTCAGACCGATTTATTCAATGTGCGCCAGCGCAGATTTTTTTATTTTGACAGTTTTGTGTTAGATCTTGAAATATATTAATATTTCACTATTTTTTTTTAAATAATTCAATAAAAACTATTCTTAATATTTAATGTTTATTCCGATGGTTTTTTAATCGTATTTATTTTTAACATTTTTTCAATTGTACACAAGATATTATAATAAATATATTATTATATGACGGGCCTGAGAGAGAGTTGGCCGTCATTTTTTATACACTTCATTTTAATGAGTGTACTGACCTGCATATAAGACCGTGATTTGAATATTGTTTTTAAAATACAATATTTGATTTGCGAAATTTTTTACGATAAATATATCATGAAGCAGATATATAATATATCGGTAGACACGAAACACCGGTGGTCTGCCACGAAATTAATTTTCGCGCGAATAATTCAGCGTGGAATTTTTTAGTATTATCGGCATCTCATGCGTTTCTGGCCTTTCATCGTTCTTTCCGTCCTTATCGGATTTCGATCAGACGAGAAGCGCAGACCCCCCTGACTAGGACAGGCGGAAAAACAATTTGCTCGCCACGTGGTAGAAATGCACCCTCTTAGGATTAGTCGTTTGACTCCTGCGCTTTCACTCGTGTAAACTAATCACATACGTGTGCGCGCCCATGTTTTCATATATATGCCTGTTGTATATGGTTCGCGGCCAGTTTTTTTCCCTCTTCTTTTTTTTCACTCACCCACGTGGCGCAAGCCGCGAAGGTGAAGCGCGTGCCAGCAGGGCGCGGGAAAACGATTAGTTTTTAATTTGATCCGGGTCGATTCGATCGCGTGAAATTGCGGTCGGGAGGCTCATTCGCTTGCTTGTTCGTTCGTTCTCGCGTTGGATTTTTCGGCAGCTCGTCGTCTCTTTCGGTCCGTCTCCTCCTCTTTTTTTTTTTTTTTTTTTTTTTTTTGCAAGGGCGTTTCGCTTCGCGTTCAACGTCTGCCTGCACAACGCCAGGGCGCAGATCGATCAGAATCGGAATTGCCTTCGACCGCAACTCGATCAAGAAATGCCCGACTCCACCCTTTCGTCCTAAATTTTCTATTTTCGGAACCATTTTTCTCCGAATGTATGGTCACACGTACGTACAATTGCTCTGTATATTCTCAAATAAATTTGTATTTCGCGAAATATCGCGCTTCGATCGACAACAACCGGATTGAACCGACTGTTTATGGACGTCGCGGATTTGCGACTCTCGACGATTTGATTTAAAATCGTTTCCTCGCGCAGCTGTTTCACTCATGCGAGATTGTCACGTTAGCATAATAATGTTTACCAATTTGATTTACATATATGATACATTACGCGACACAATTTTGTTAACTCTCTTTCTCTCTCGACTGCGCGTGATCAGTTATTTTCAGGTATATTTTATTGGCATAAATTTGGTATTCATTTTGTCTCAAATCTGTTTGATAAAAATGTTAATTTATTCAGGAACAAAAATATGCTTGAGAAGAATAATATGTTTATGAATATATTTGTCAACATTATGTCAGTTGCATGTTGTGTTAAATCTGATTTATCGTAAATTTAACACAGGAAGAGATAATTCATTATTATATATATATTTTTATTATTTTGATGGTTTCAAGGAAGCTCTCTGTTCCCGAAGAAATTATCACATATCGCCCGGTTTTAATAACAATATTCTCGGTAGAACTTGGGAAGCGCCATCGTGAAAAAATTCTAGAAGCGTCCGAATCGCGTGTGTCTCGTCGGAATGCATCGTTTTCCGAATTCGATCGCTACTCTTTCTCGGAAAGTCTCGTGAGATGTGCGTCTTTTGGGGAAGGTCGATACGAACACACACGTACACATACATCTCCGGCGTTCTTCCTTTCCTCTCGTTTCTCTCTCTCTCTCTTTCTCTACCTCTCTGAAGTTGGAGAACGTCTACGAGCCACTGGCTCTCGCTCCGCATCTTTTGCCCGACTCTCGAGGTCGAGCCTCACCGCGTGCAACATGTCGCGTGCAGGCACGTGCTCTGTAATGTATAATCTGACCTGTGGCCGGAGGCGTTCTACAGCGCCGATATAAATTCGAAACGGCAGAGAGAAAGGGAGAGACGACGGGGAAAAAGGAAGAACGCAGTAGAAGAAGAAGAAGAAGACGAGGTTCCGGTGAAAGGGAGATCGTGGAGATCGACGAGTACTCGTCCGGGAGAGATACCGTCTACTCCCTCGATAGTTGTAATATGCGGGCTCAGCTTGCTTGTGGAAAGCCGATTTTCGACGCTTCCGGAGAAGAGACGGGTCAGTCCCGGATATATATATATATATATATATATATGCGCACCGAGATATATGTATGAAAGAATATAGACATCCGGGAGTGCAACGGGACGGTATAGGACACAGGCTTATATGCAGGCCAGGACACTTCTATATCGACTACATGCTGTCAAACGTAACAAAATGTCACTAATATGGCTGCCAACTCGGGCTGATTTATTCAATGCGCACCAGCGCAGATTTTTTTTATTTTGACAGTTTTTGACAGTTTTGTGTTAGATCTTGTGCACGATTGAAAAAAATGTTAAAAATAAATACGGCTAAAATACTGTTGGAATTAATATTAAATAGAAGAATAGTTTTTATTAAGTTATTTAAAAATAGTGAAATGTAAAAAATAAATATATTATTATATGACAGGCCTGAGTTGGCCGTCATATTGGTTACATTTTTGATACATTTCATTTTAATGAGTGTCCTGATCTGTGCATAAGACCGTGGTATATAGGAGGAAGATTTCTAATACGGCGATATCAGAGAACGTAAGGTCGCTCGGTGTCGCGTATCGCGTTCCAGATCGGATTCACGGATATAAATTTGAAATCTTCATGGCGCCACTAAAACCTCGCTTCGGATCGAATGAAAGTTTCCTTCTTCTATCTATCTATGAACGCTATTAAGCGCTCTTCTTATCTATTCGTAAATCGATTTCGCATCACTTACTGCTATCGGATTGCAATCAAATCATAATAGCAAACACCTTGACGTGTATTAAAAATAATTTTCTATTCCCACACCGAGAGAATTTTCTCTTAAAAATCATGGCAATCGTGGAACAATATGGCATTGGAAGAATTTTATAAGAGTTTCTCTAATTAATCTATTTTTACCACAATAAAAAGATATTAATATCCATCACAATTAATTTTACTATGTACATACGAGTGTCCCATGATTATCATGATTTTCAGGATGAAATCTACGTTGGTCTGCAGAAATCTTTTTTTTATTCCAGAGAGCAATAAATTCTCATATACACATATATATATATATACGCTATGTAAAAAGTTCCATAAAAAATATCGTCTATTTCTTTAAAAAGGAAAAATCGAATTGAAAACGATCGAGCGGAAATTTCGCCTAGTAATCACGAATTTAAGAGCTTATATATATTTACGGGACGATACGAGTATATAGCGCGATAAAAAAAATCGTTCGCGTCGCGGTCTCTCCTCCGTAACGTCGGCGATTCCGCGAAGAGGTGTTAAAACCACGTGCGAATGCTCCGGGTCTGAAACTGTTAACGCCGCAATTTTCTCGGGCAGAGGCTTCTCGCAGCGAGGCAAATGAGGGCCGCGGGTACGACTTCGGGGCCCGTTTAAAACCGCTGATCCTTCGGGATCAAGATACTCGCGTCGTTCCCGCCCGCTCATTTGTAGTCTATCCGGTACTACGATACCGCAAAGTCGGATCCCGGCGCCCGGTTACGTGCTTCCCGCGCGAACTCAGCGGTTTTCAGTTCGACACGCTCCAAGTATCTTTCTCCGTATTTCTCTATCTTTGTAACCGTGTTACGGAAACAAGCGGGAATTTACGTAAACACGCATAGATACGCGCCGCACAGAAGGCCACCGAAAGTGGAACGAGCGGAAAGATATCAGAGGCGATGGCCGGCAATCAGGTGGGAGGGTGCGGATCTCTCTTGCCTCTCTCGGCTTTATAAAAATGCAAACGGCCGATCATTTGAATACGTATAGCCGGTAATTCAGAGGAGGCGAGCGTTCGCCCGCCCGCGTTCAGCGTCACGCGTGCACATGCGTGT